ATATCTTACCTTTTTACAAGTAACACAGTAACACATATGTTACCCAACATATAATTCGGAAAAAAAGTTGATTTCTAATGAAAAATTAAAATGTTGATTTGAAATGAAAATTAGGCATATTTAAAAAATTATAAAGGGGATATATATAAAATATTATTATTATTTTTTTAAAAAGACGTATTTTTAAAAATTTGTAAAACGAGGCATTTTAACCTTTTTTGAACCAAAAGCAGGATATTTATGTAGTTATCCCATAGTTATATTTATTGAGAAATGATCTAATTTCGATGCTCGTTTTATGCTAAAGCACCAATATCATGATTTATCAATTCATTGACGGATAAATTTGAATTAAATTTGTTATTCACCAATCAAATGATGTGTCATGCCACAGACGTTGAGGAGATGGCTTCTCCATATTTATTTATACCATGCACATGAGCACTAAAATTATGGCATGTATTTTTTTGGTGGATTTGATAGTTAGTACAGTATTAAGAAAGCAAGATATATTAAAATCTTTTTATCGTAACGTCTATCTAATATTAGATACTAGACATTCACAGTCCACTTATTGTTTCGTGTTAGTTAGGACAGTCACTTAAGTTTCATTAATGATGAGGATCGTTAGGAAAGTCATCGACTCCAACTATAAAATACTTATGGTTGCAGAAATGATCTAATGAGCACCTATTTGTTTTTAATTTTATCTAAAGGAAAAATGACTTGAATTGTACATTATGAGCCCATGATAAGAAAACACTTCATCATTCTCTTTATATGTCAAAGTACTTAAAAAATAAATAAACAATTCATTGAAAAATCACAATAATTGTACTTACCTAGAAATAAAGGTGTTGGGTATTTTATCAATACCCAAATAACCCTTAGGAAATGATGAAAAATCGTGGCCCGGTTATCTTGACGTTCACCTAATGTAATAGTTACAAAAGAAATTAGTTAAGAGATAAAATTAGACTGAGTACCTCTTTTTCTTTAAAAAGTTAAAATATAACTTATTTTTTAATTCTTTAATTTTTACCCACATCTAAATAACACTTTAAAAATATCACTTTTATTGTATAAACATTTTAAAAACAATTATTTACCATGCCAAACACAAAACCAGGAAATGTCTATTTACTTTCGATCTCTAATACCATGGACCACCATTATCATCGCCGTCACCACCATCATTCTCACTCAGTCGGAACAACTGCCACCTTTCCTATAAATCCCACCACAACCCAATATTCTTCTTCTACTTTTTTGTTCCAAATCGTCACTACCATCCCTAACACCATCTTTTGCACCGGATCTTCTTACGAGTTGAAACAAGTTGATTGCACCACCATGCACGAACATCTAGGGATGAAAGATTATGTAGCGAAGATACACGCAACTTTTGTACCTATCTTCGACCGGCTGGCAATTCCGTTGCCTATATTAGATGTGAAATTTAAGATTTAATATTCGATCTAGAATTTCAAATTTAGTAGTTCGTAAATCAATGTACGTCCAAACTTGACTATGAGCATAATTGAAGGATTTTTGTGTTTTATATGATTTTTGTTCCTTTTGGCGTGATGGGGGAGGTGGCAGTGAATGACTTTAGACAATGTAGTTATCCCATAGTTATATTTATTGAGAAATGATCTAATTTCGATGCTCGTTTTATGCTAAAGCACCAATATCATGATATATCAATTCATTGGTGGATAAATTTGAATTAAATTTGTTATTCACCAATTAAATGATGTGTCATGCCACATATGCTTAGGGAATCACTTCTCTATATTAATTTATACCATGCACATGAGCACTAAAATTATGGCATGTATTTTTTTGGTGGATTTGATATTTAGTACAGTATAAAAAAAGCAAGATATATTAAAATCTTTTTATCGTAACGTCTATCAAATATTAGATACTAAACATTCACAGTCCACTTATTGTTTCGTGTTAGTTAGGACGGTCACTTAAGTTTCATTAACGATGAGGATCGTTAGGAAAGTCATGGACTCCAACTATAAAATACTTATGGTTGCACCTACAAATTACGTGACATGCACGTAACGTAAGAGATCTCATATATGCAGACGTGACATTGACTATTCAATTGATTGTGCCTATTTAATTAAATAACAACATTTTGGGATTTGATTGACCTATTAATAATCAAGCAACGTCATACGGGGCTTGGAGCTCGCCCCATTGTTCGTGAAATTTCTCAAGTGTACGGATCGTAACAAGTAATAAAGTGGATTTAAATCTGAATATCGTTCCATAGAAACTACTATTTACTATAAATTTTTAAATTGACCTAACTTCAATTTAAATTAAAATAGTGTGAGTATTTGATGCCCATTTCAATAGGTTGAAATTTTTTGGAATAGTGATTCATGGGAGAATGCGTGGTGGAAAAGTGATGAAAAATTTTAGATTTATGTGTAATATTATTTTTGGAGAATGCGTGGTTAAAATGAAGAAAGAGAAAAAAAAAAGAGAAAGAGAATTAGTGCCAAACATGGGCAGTAACTAATGATCAAATCAAGTTTTATTTTCTAAGTAAAATTCTAATAAATAAAATAACAAACTATTAATTAAAAATAACAAACTCAAATTAAAACTGTAGATAAGATTATGTGATTGGATAGTTAGGATTTTCGATTTCACTTAGGTTATTTATCATACATTTAATTCCAATTTATTCAACCATTTTTCATACGTGCCAACGATAAAATTAACCTATTGTATTTAGTGATCTCTCAAGAAACATTAATCATATTCATATACTCCAACTTATTATATCTTTATATAAATTCACACACATATGAACGCATTTATCTACAGGAATTCAACAAAGATTGCATAACTTATAATTATCTCTCGATCTCTTATAATATCTATATTAATTTTTGAACGAGCTAGAATTATACATCACTTCTCGGTCTCGATATTATCCCTAAATCAATTAATTGTTGCGCAAACAATTAAAGCATTAAATACACAATAATTAATTAATAAATATTTAAATGG